AATGCATTTCATAAGGCTTCCATTTATTATAAATGGGCTTTCAAATGCATGGCAATGTGATGGGAAAAAACACTTGCATGGCCCCTTTTTTACCAACATGGTATACCACAAATAAGTGGATATACAGGGGCGGACTGACCATAATTGGGAAAACTCGGGCACTCGCCTGAAGGAGCCAGGGGTCAGTTAGGGGGCCCATGGTAACTCTTATTTCATAGGCTTTTTTTGAGTTTGAGGTGTCTAAGGGGGAAACAGGGGCCCTCATGACTCCCCTTAATTGCCGGGCGGCCGCCAATGATTTTCTCACAGTCCTCCCCCCCTGGAGGATATATGTGTTGTGTTGCAAATGTGTGTTGGGCTCTTCTTTACCAATGTGTTGAATTGGCAATTTACTATGGAAGCACTTGATGTCTTTCATTAAAATCTTCCATTTATTATGAAATGGGCTGCCAATGTACACTTATGGTAAAAAATAACCTGCAAGGCCCTTTATCTTGCCAACGTGATGTACCAATAATGGTCGATTCTATTTGTTGTGTGTTGGGCCCTTTTCTTTACAATGTGTTGAATTGGGGCCTTTTACTATGGAAGCCCTGATGTGTTTTATTAAGGCTTCCATTTGTTATGAATGGTCTGCCAATGCACACAAATGGATGAAAACATTCTACATTGCCCTTTCTTACCAATGTTGCATTTTACAATAAAGGAATTTTTGTCTTGTTGTTGTAGTTGTGTGTTAGGCTCTTCATTACAATTTTGTTTGAGGGAATCATTTAAAAAGGAAGCCTTAAAGCATTTCAACTAAGGCTTCCATTTATTATGAATGGGCTGGTCCAATGCACACAAATGGATGAAAAAATTCTACATTGCCCTTTTCTTACCAATGTTGCATTTTACAATAATGAAATTAATGTCTTGTCTTGTTTGTTGTATTGTTGTGTTGGGCTCTTCAAGCCCAAAACCAAACAAACACCACAAACCAATTACAATTTGTTGAGGGGGGGTCCATTTAAAAAGGAAGCCTTAAAGCATATCACAAAGGCTTCCATTTATTATGAATGGGCTGCCAATGCACACAAATGGATGAAAAAATTCTACATTGTCCTTTCTTACCACTGTTGCATTTTAAAATAAACGAATTGTATGTCTTGTCTTGTGTTGTATTGTGTGTTGGACTCTTCATTACAATTTTGTTGAGGGGGCCCATTTAAAAAGGAAGCTTAATGCATTTCACTAAGACTTCCATTTATTATGAATGGGCTGCCAAAGCACACCAAAGCATGAAAATAAACGGATGACCCTTTTTTACCAATGGGATGTACCAGAATAGATGATATACAGGGGGTATGTGCTGTGTTGCAGGTGCGGACGGTACCTGTGATCGCAGGATCACGTATAATATATCATTCTCTGCATTTTCGGGTAGGGCGCACAACGTCGAGCCGCGCACGTGCCCATAACCGTGCCACCATTCGTGGCCCCAAGATGTCATTCAACCGGGTAATTACCCGCTGAATGGCCCGGTGATTACTGAGCACATCTTCCTCCCTGTCAGCTTGAGCACACTGCCAGGATGGCTGTACTGTGCACTGTGATCAGTGTGCTTACAGAACACACCCCCCGACTCCTAGCAAAAATACTCCCAACTCACAGTTAAAAACCCTTTGATCGCCCCTCACATTATCCCCTTCCTGCTCAGTGTCATTAGTACAGTGTCAGTTACTTTTCTTTTAGCACTGATCACTGTTTTGATGTCACTGGGGTCGTCAATGACATCAAGTTACTTCCTCCCCAGTGTCAGAATTCTCGCTGCAGTACCCCCCGCTAAAAAATTCACTGATTGGCGCCATTACTAGTAGAAAAAAAAAATCCCATTATCTATACTAGAGATGAGCGAATTATTCAAAAATTCGATTCGGTTATTTTTTGTGATTCGGACGATTCGCGGAATAAATTTCGATTCGAGTCGATTATATTCGCTGCGAATTTAACATATAAAAAGGGTGTTTCTAGGCTTCAGAGAGCCTTTATATTATTGCAGAACACTGTACCTTTAATTTTAAATGCCCTTGGAGTCTGCTGGGAAGAGAAAAATAATACTGTCAGTCAGTATGACATGCAGATGAGTGCCGTCGATCTTAGAATCACCCGCAACAACTTCACTCATTTGGGCAGTCACGGGGCCAAAACCAGAGTGTGGAGGAGCCACAGTGTGGCGGTGGAGGCAGCAGCAATGGGAGGCCATACAGCACCCTATGAAAAAATGGAAAACCCCAGCAGTGGTGAGGAGACCTGAAAGTGGCACAACATGGCAGAGTGTGGCGATGGAGGACAGCAGCAATGGGAGGCCGTACAGGGACCCATGACACACTCTGGACCTGGCAGCAGCATGAGGAGGCGGTACACAGGGGCACCCATGACAGATTACGGGCCATGGCAGCAGCATGAGGAGTCGGTACGGGGGCCCATGGCAGATTACGGGCCTGGCAGCAGCAATGGGAGGCCAAGACAGCACCCTATGACAAAATGGAACCCACCAGCAGTGTGAGGAGACCTGAAAGTGGCACATGGCAGAGTATGAACGATGGAGACAGCAGCAATGGGAAGGCCCGTACAGGGACCCATGACACACTCTGGACCTGGGCAGCAGCATGCGGAGGTGGTACAGGGGCCCATGACAGATTACGGGCCTGGCAGCAGCATGAGGAAGTCGGTACGGGGGCCCATGGCAGATTTACGGGCTCTGGCAGCAGCAATGGGAGGCCCGTAATCTGCTAGCACCCTATGACAAAATGGAACCCACCAGCAGTGTGAGGAGACCTGAAAGTGGCACATGGCAGAGTGTGGCGATGGAGACAGCAGCAATGGGAGGCCGTACAGGGACCCATGACACACTCTGGACCTGGCAGCAGCATGAGGAGTCGGTACGGGGGCCCATGGCAGATTACGGGCCTGGCAGCAGCAATGGGAGGCCCGTAATCTGCCAGCACCCTATGACAAAATGGAACCCACCAGCAGTGTGAGGAGACCTGAAAGTGGCACATGGCAGAGTGTGGCGATGGAGACAGCAGCAATGGGAGGCCGTACAGGGACCCCATGACACACTCTGGACCTGGCAGCAGCATGAGGAGTCGGTACGGGGGCCCATGGCAGATTACGGGCCTGCAGCAGCAGCAATGGGAGGCCCGTAATCTGCCAGCACCCTATGACAAAATGGAACCCACACCAGCAGTGTGAGGAGACCTGAAAGTGGCACATGGCAGAGTGTGGCGATGGAGACAGCAGCAATGGAGGCCGTACAGGGACCCATGACACACTCTGGACCTGGCAGCAGCATGAGGAGTCTTGAAGATTAAGGAGTACGGGGGCCCATGGCAGATTACGGGCCTGGCAGATGACGACGAGGCTGCCAAGTGCGATCAGCCTCATCATCATCAATTAGGGTCTCCGCCTCACTACTAGCCCCCTCGGCTGCGTGTGTGGTCAGGAGACAGGACTGTCTCTAGACCGGCTACCGAGCCACTCTCCTCGCCAGTACTTCTTCGCCTGGCTGCTGAAAGAGGCGGATGTCTCCCCCACGTTCCTGAACGCCCTCTGTTAGCTCTTCCTCACTGTACAGTGGGGCTGAGCCCACAGCATGCGATACTTCGCTTGGTGAGGGAACACCAAAGGACAGGGGCAGGTAGAGGACACGTGATTTCAGTGGGCTTGCTCCCGGGCCATGCCAACTAACGGTTGTGTCTGACGTACCCACCGACCGTTGGCTGTAGGTGTCAGAGGTGACCTGGGAAGAGAGGAAGACGACCGAGCCAACCAATCGATGACGGCAGGGTTGTCGGTGGAGACACGACCGCTGGATGACACCGGGAGCACTGGCCTCTGGCTGCGACTAGTGCTGCCTCAACCCCTTCCTCTGCTGCCACGTCTGCTCGCTCCTGAAACATTGCCTCCTCTGCCACTCCTCTGCGTGTTGTCTGACATACTCTTTAATTCAACGATTCTGTGTCCCTGAGTAACAATTCTGTGTCCCTGAGTAACAATTCTGTGTCCCTCAGTAACGATTCTGTGTCCCTCAGTAACAATTCTGTGTCCCTGAGAAACAATTCTGTGTCCCTGAGTAACGATTCTGTGTCCCTCAGTAACAATTCTTGTGTCCTCAGTAACAATTCTGTGTCCCTGAGTAACAATTCTGTGTCCCTGAGTAACAATTCTGTGTCCCTCAGTAACGATTCTGTGTCCCTCAGTAACAATTCTGTGTCCCTGAGTAACAATTCTGTGTCCCTGAGTAACGATTCTGTGTCCCTGCAGTAACAATTCTGTGTCCCTGAGTAACAATTCTGTGTCCCTGAGTAACAATTCTGTGTCTGTCCCTGAGTAACAATTCTGTGTCCCCTGAGTAATAATTCTGTGTCCCTGAGTAACAATTCTGTGTCCCTGAGTAACAATTCTGTTTCCCTGAGTAACGATTCTGTGTCCCTCAGTAACAATTCTGGTCCCTGAGTAACAATTCTGTGTCCCTGAGTAACGATTCTGTGTCCCTGAGTAACGATTCTGTGTCCCTCAGTAACAATTCTGTGTCCCTGAGTAACAATTCTGTGTCCCTGAGTAACATTCTGTGTCTGTCCCTGAGTAACAAATTCTGTGTCCCCTGAGTAACAATTCTGTGTCCCTCATAACGATTCTGTGTCCCTCAGTAAACAATTCTGTGTCCCTGAGTAACAATTCTGTGTCCCTGAGTAACGATTCTGTGTCCGCTGAGTAACGATTCTGTGTCCCTCAGTAACAATTCTGTGTCCCTGAGTAACAATTCTGTGTCCCTGAGTAACAATTTCTGTGTCTGTCCCTGAGTAACAATTCTGTGTCCCTGAGTAACAATTCTGTGTCCCTGAGTAACGATTCTGTGTCCCTCAGTAACGATTCTGTGTCCCTGAGTACAATTCTGTGTCCCTGAGTAACAATTCTGTGTCCCTGAGTAACGATTCTGTGTCCCTGAGTAACAATTCTGTGTCCCTCAGTAACAATTCTGTGTCCCTGAGTAACAATTCTGTGTCCCTGAGTAACAATTCTGTGTCTGTCCCTGAGTAACAATTCTGTGTCCCTGTGTAACAATTCTGTGTCCCTGAGTAACAATTCTGTGTCCCTCAGTAACGATTCTGTGTCCCTCAGTAACAATTCTGTGTCCCTGAGTAACAATTCTGTGTCTGTCCCTGAGTAACAATTCTGTGTCCCTGAGTAACAATTCTGTGTCCCTGAGTAACGATTCTGTGTCCTAAGTAACGATTCTGTGTCCCTAAGTAACGATTCTGTGGCCCTAAAGTCTCTCTGGCCCTAACTTTGTCCCTAATACAGACAGGTCTGTCTCTCTTGAATGACCGGAGTCTAATGGAGAATTGTAAGATGGCCGCAATTTATAGCTCCACCATTACACAGTGCTGGCTGGCTGGGCTGCTGATTGGGCTAATGCGATCACATGTCATGAATGAATGCATTATGGGTCAGCGCGCCTTGTCTGCGCGCCTTCCCATAGATCCCCGCTCCGTCGCCACACATGTCGCCGCCATTTTTGGAAAAAATTCGATTCGTGCATCCGAAGTTTGCTAATTTTCGGATTCGGCGCGAATCGAATTTTTCCTAATCTTCAAAACGAATTCCACTTCGCCAAGTTCGATTCGCTCATCTCTAATCTATACCTCCATTTGTAAACACTATAACTTTCACATAAACCAATACATTTACACGTATTGGGATTCTTTTTAGCAAAGACACGGAGCAGAATGCATTTTCCCCCCATAAATTATGCCGAAATTTGATTTTTAAATTTTTTTTACTGGACATGTTTTAATAACAAAAAGTAAAAAATATTGTTTTTTTTCTAAAAATTGTCATTTTTTTTTTAGTATAGTGCAAAAAAATAAAAACGCAACAGGCGATCAAATACATTTTTTTACTGGAAATGTTTAATAGCAAATCTCCAAAATATTGTTTTTTTTCTCAAATATTACTTATAGCGCAAAAAAAAATAAAAAGCGCACAGGCGATCAAATACCACCAAAAGAAAGCTCAATCTGATCACTGTATTGATGTCACTGGGGTGTCAATGACACCAAGTTAGTTCCTCCCAGTGTCAGAATTCTCGCCACAGTCCTGCAAAAAGTCACTGATTGCCGCCATTACTAGTAGAAAAAAAAATCTCACTATCTATACCTCCATTTGTAGACGCTATAACTTTCACGTAAACCAATAAATTTACACGTATGGGATTTTTTTTAGCAAAGACACGGAGCAGAATACATTTTTGCCTAAATTTATGCCGTAATTTGATTTTTAAATTTTTTTTTTACTGGACATGTTTAATAGCAAAAAGTCAAAAATATTGATTTTTTCTAAAAATTTTCTTTTTTTTTTAGTATAGTGCAAAAAAATAAAAACGCACAGGCGATCAAATACATTTTTTTACTGGACATGTTTAATAGCAAAATGTCCAAAAATATTGATTTTTTTCTCAAATATTAACTTATAGCGCAAAAAAAAATAAAAACCGCACAGGCGATCAAATACCACCAAAAGAAAGCTCAATCTGATCACTGTATTGAAGATGTCACTGGGGTGTCAATGACACCAAGTTAGTTCCTCCCCAGTGTCAGAATTCTCTGCCACAGTCCTGCAAAAAAGTCACTGATTGCCGCCATTTACTAGGTAGACAAAAATAAATCCCCATTATCTATAACCGCCATTAGATAACTACCAC